GGCACTGATGGCCACGAGGGAGTGCCCACGTCACTCCTCCCCCAACTCCAGCAGCCCAGCACAGAGAGCGAGGGAGGAGAGTGAGAGACTTTGCCTGGTGATCCAGGGAATTCTCTTGTATCATACCAAGGTGGTATCACCAGGAGTCCACAAGAGTCACAGCATTATTGGGTTTCAGGCACCCCCAGTGCTGACATAGTTACAGTGACCGGAAGCTTAGAATACAACGTTCAATCCCACTTGAGTATCTGGAAAGCCTTCACAAAAGGGATGGGTTCAAACAAGGCCAGAATGTGAAGATTAAAATAAACACCTAACTCCTCAGGCCTGGACATCAATGAACATCCACAAGCATCAAGAACATCCAGGAAGACATGACCTCACCAAGCAAACTAAATAAGGTACCATGACAATCCCAGAGGGATAGAGAGAGGTGATCTTTTAGATAAAGAACTCAAAATAGCTGTCCTGAAAAAGCTCACTGAACTTCAAGACAACACAGAGAAGGAATTCGGAAGCCTATCAGAAATATTTAACAAAGAGATTGAAATAATAAAAAAATCAGGTAGAAATTCTAGAGCTTAAGAATTCAATTGACAAACTAAGAAATGCATCAGAGTCTTGACAGCAGAACTGACCAAGCAGAAGAAAGAATTAGTGAGCTTGAAGATAGGCTATTTGAAAATACACAGTCAGAAGAGAAAAAAGAATAAATAAAAATGAAGTACACCTACAAGATCTAGAAAATAGCCTCAAATTAGCAAATCTAAGAGTTATTGGCCTTAAAGAGGTAGAGTGGGATTGGGACAGAAAGTTTATTCAAAGAAGAAATAACAAAGAACTTTCCAAACCTAGAGAAAGATATCAATATTCAGGTACAACAAGGTCATACAACAGCAAGCAGATTTAACCTAAGCAAGTCTACCTCAAGGCATTTAATAATCAAGCTACCAAAGGTCACAGATAAAGAAAAGGTCCTAAAGGAAACAAGACAAAAGAAAAAAAGTAACATATATAGGAGCTCCAAGGACTTCTTGAGTAACACCCCCAAAGCACAGGCAACCAGAACAAAATTAGACAAATGGGGTCGCATCAAGATAAAAAGCTTCTGCATGCAAAGGAAACAATCCACAAAGGGAAGAGACAACCCACAGAATGGGAGAAAATATTTGCAAACTACCCGTGACAAGGGATTAATAACTAGAATATATAAGGAGCACCAACAACTCAATAGGAAAAAAATTAAATAATCCAATGAAAAAATGGACAAAGGATCTGAATAGACATTTCTCAAAAGAAGACATACGAATGGTCAACAGGTATATGAAACAATGCTCAACATCATTAGTCAGAGAAATGTAAATCAAAACTCCAATGAGATATCATCTCGCCCCAGTTAAAATGCTATTTATCAAAAAGACAAGCAATAACAAACGCTGCCGAGGACGCAGAGAAAGGGGAACCCTCGTACACTGTTGGTGAGAATGTAAATTAGTGCAACCACTACATAAAACAGTATGGAGGGGCCAGGCGCGGTGGCTCACGCCTATAATCCTAGCTCTCTGAGAGGCTGAGGCGGGCGGATTGTTCGAGCTCAGGAGTTCGAGATCAGCCTGAGCAAGAGCGAGACCCTGTCTCTACTAAAAAAATAGAAAGAAATTAATTGGACAACTAAAAATACATAGAAAAAATTAGCCGGGCATGGTGGCACATGCCTGTAGTCCCAGCTACTCAGGAGGCTGAGGCAGAAGGATTGCTTGAGCCCAGGAGTTTGAGGTTGCTGTGAGCTAGGATGACGCCACGGCACTCTATTCAGGGCAGTAGAGTGAGACTCTGTCTCAAAAAGAAAAAAAAAAAACAAAACAGTATGGAGGTTCCTCAAGAAACTGAAAACAGAACTACCACATGACACAACAATCCCACTGCTGGGTGTATATCCAAAGGATGGGAATTCAGTATATCAAAAAGATATCTACACTTTATTGCAGCACTATTCATGATAGCGAAGATATGAAATCAACCTAAGTGTCCATCAACAGATGAATGGATAAATTGTGGTACACACACACAGTGGAATATCATATAACACAAAAAGAATGACATCCCGCCGTTAGAAACGACATGGATGGAACTGGAGAACAGTATGTTAACTGACATAAGCCAAGCACAGAAAGAAAAATCTCACATGTTCTCACTCATATGTGGGAGATAAATATTAAAAACAATTGATCTCATGGAGACAGAGAGTAGAATGATGGTTGCCAGAGGCTGGGAAGTGCACGGGGTCGGGGGATAAAGTGGGGATGATTAATGAGTGCGAAAATATAGTTAGTTATATAGAATGAATTATATTCAATAATATACCAAAAGTGACTATAATCAACAATAAGTTAGGATATTCTTTAAAATAACTAAAAGAGTGGAATTGGAATGTTCCTTACACAAAGAAATGTTAAATGCCTGAGGTGATGGATACCCCAGTCACTCTGATTTGGTTAATTCACACTGTATCCCAGTATCAAAACATCACATGTGCCTTTTAAAGATATAACTATTATGTACCCAAAATTAAAAATAAAACTTTTTTTTTTTTTTTGAGACAGGGTCTCACTCTTTTGCCCGGGCTAGAGTGAGTGCCGTGGCGTCAGCCTAACTCACAGCAACCTCAAATTCCTGGGCTCAAGCAATCCTTCTGCCTC